CGCTCCCTTCAGGTCAGCTTCCACATCAAGGTTCTCAGGAATCATGAGGTCTTTGCTCAATGGGAGCAGCAAGGGATTGGTCATGAGCGGGCGTCCGCAGCAGCCCAGTTCAGAGGCTGTGATGAACACGTTCTCACTTGTACCGTCCAAGTTGGATACCAGGCGTCCAGTGTTGAACCGCCTTTGGCAAAAAGTGTCAAGAAAGTTCATTGGAACTGACTGGTGCCTCTGATTGAAAAAACACAATGACAACCAGCATGCCAGTGCAGTACCGCCAGAAAGGTTGGAACATGTTGGAACCGAACACTCTTCATCACCCTTCAACCCTTCAATTACCTGCCTGCGGTTTGTTTGTGCATCTGCAGCCGGATGCACATCGAATGTGCACACCCACCTGGCATCGCAGCTCTGGCGAAGGCTCCAAAGGCAACTCTGAAGGTCACTCTCTTCATCACACAAACCCCGCTTCGAACTCTTCTTTGCAACCTCCGGGAGCTCCACCAAGGCCACTGAACGAGTTGGTGCCAAGTCGTTGCAAAACTGCATGGTCTGGCAGAGTTCCTGCATAGATTCTGTCGATTTTGCTCCGGGCACGTTCAAGTCACAAACAACGATGCAGTGAATCTCAGACTCCTTGAAGCTGCCACTCTGAGCCTTACAGAATGCCAAACAGCAAATAATTGTGAAATCAGTAGGTCGATGGATGTCCTACCAAAAGTAGACAACTCTCAACATATAATATAGACATCATCGCCCTTAAAAAGTAAAAAGAGGGGTTCAGATGCTAAATCTGCAAGGAAACGACGAAGAGGCGGAACTCATTTATCCTTTGCTGTGCCAGCTCAGCTTTGGGAACTAAATCGCATCGAAGAAATTTGTCTTTGTAAGCCTTGATGACACGTTCTCCTCCTTGAGCTTGGGAAATCCTCCAAGACATGAGCTTGCGGTGCTTCAGTGCCTCCAAGCGCTCTGGCGCAGATTGGACCTGTTGAAGCTTCGCTTGATCTCGAAGGAGTGCACTCTGGAAAAAGCTCCACCGAGCATCCCTGACAGCAAGGCGTTCTTTCTCTACTTCCAAGCTCGCACCCGCCTCCTGCTCCCGAACCTGATCCACAGCCTCCTTCCGGGCACAGGGAAGCATGGAGACCCCGAATTGACTTGGTCTCGACTCCAACAACTCTCGAAATTCGTGGTCTTTGGTGTTGCCATTGCAAATGGCAGCATCCAACTCTGCGAAGGTGCTGATTCTGGTGCTGCAAAATGAGCGGATTGTGAACCAGAAGCATATCATGTTCCGCAGTTCCATGAGTTCCTCCTCATTTTGCCGGTAGCGCTTGCGGTCTTGAACGTTGTCCACAATTGCTGTGGCACGTTCATACTGGATCCGGATCCTGGCAAAAAGGGCACCTTGAGCCTCCCCCGTCATAGGTAAGGACCAATCTATTGAAATTGTTGGCTCTCCGCTGACCGTCTCAAGGCCGCCTGCATCAGGCAGCGGACTCAGGGTGACTGTCGAGTTCATGAACAGGAATCGCTGGACTGACAATGATTCGCCCCATGGTCCAAATTGGAATGGGGCGTCCTTAAGACTCAATTCCACCTGACGGATTGCTTCTTCTGAACTCAACTCAAGCCAGTGTTTGATCGCATACTGTTTCTTGGAGTCCAAGATCAAAGAGCCTGTGCCGCTCCTGTCCTGCAAAGTGAGTCTATGTATATCTACAAATCCGGCTTTTGTACTATATATAATATAAATCTATATCATCAGTCTCAGTAAGTATCTATATCATCAGTTAGTGAGTCCCGCACTGAGTCCTGCGACTTTAAAACATCTGGTTTGATGGCAGTCCTTGGAGGACGCTCCGCCATGTGCCACCACCTCGGGATTGCTGTTGTACAACTCTACAGCCTGGGAGACGGTCATTTGCTCTCCGTCCTTGATCATGGATGCCAAAATTCTTGACCACTCATAGCTGCTCACAGCCAGCTTCTTGGCATCAACGTTCTGGCGAATGATGCGCCGGATCATCCCAGATGCTCGGTCTTCTGTTTGCGGTTTGTAAAAGGCTGGCAAGCCCAGCAAACTCCGGGCGAGCTGCACAACTGATGGATGAGTAGCCTCGTCATCTTTCAGAGTCCCAACCATGTGAAGCAACCCAACCCAGCAGACAGCTGCCGCCAAAGCCTTCATGCCACCCGAGTCAAAGCGCAGCTGCCCCAGGTGATAGGTTGTCTCTTCAGCCAGGTCTTCATCAAGCAATCGCATCCCAAGGGATTCACCCTGGCCAAAGCGGGCTGTAATGGGCTGTAACTAAGACACCGCCTTTCCCGTATCTACAAATTATTGTTCAGTCATTATCCATTTCTCAAATGGTTTAACCGGAGAACTTATCATCCAGATCTGGAAAATTAATGACTCAGGTTCCAGGGCGGCGAGCAATTCCCATTTGGGGCAGGGACGGGGGGCGGCGAGCTGGGACGTTGGAGTGGGCGGCGAGCAATTTCCTCCCCTGATTCTGGGGTGAGGCGGCGAGCTCTTCCTGGAAGAGCTCTCCACCCCCCCCCAAAAAAAACATCGCCGCAATTGAAATTGATCTCCGCTTTAACTTCCCTATTGGTGATGCCAGAGCGGCGAGCTCTTCCTGGAAGAGCTCTCCACCCCCCCCCCCGCCCCAATCTAAATCTAATACCACATTCTAGTCCCATCCAGTGGACCCAGAACTTCTGTCTGAGGGTTTCCAATAATCCTTTATTATCCTTTATTGTGATTACTAAAGAGGCGGCGAGCTCTTCCCGGAAGAGCTCTCCACTCTCAATCCCCCCTATGGTGCCTGAAAGCGGCTAGCAATCACACCCACGACCACAGTTTACCTTCAATTTCTTTACTTTTCACCCAGGATTCCCGGACCAGTCAGTTCAAAGCTTTTTCTTAGTGGCTGGACCCTGTGGCTCTTCCCCAAAAAAGAAATGACTGGTGGCCCCTCAGACTTCAAAAAGAATGGAAAAGTAATGGTGGCTGGATTGGACCAATTGACATTCCGGCAATCTGTTTGGAACAAGTGGCATCTCTCCATCCATTCATTGCGATTGACTTGGCAATGTCATAGACAGTTGCCATGTCAGGGGCCCGCCAGAAACTTTCGCCTGCAAACGACCATTGCAAAATCGATGTGGTTGTCCAGCAAGAAGGCGAAGGAGGAAATTCCTGCAAAAGTTCCCAAGACACTTTGTGTCTAAAAACACGTTTCAACAAGGTCTGAAAAGTTAATAACTATTATCTGATGGCTTGGCCCAATTCTTTGATAAGCCTGTCCTCCATAGTCAAGTATTTCATCATGAAGTCATCGTCCGTGGTAGAAGAATCCACAATGCCAAGTCGTTTGACTAAGGCGCAAGACTCTTCGACAAGGGCATCTTCATCCGCCCATACTCGCTGCACCAAATCAAGAAAGCTGCCACCATCGTTGAGAGGGAACTTCTTGGTCTCTGCGTAGCCGTTGCGACCCTGGTAGACTAGATCAATCCAGTCTTTCAACTGCAAACGAGCCGGCGCAACATCTGCAGCATTGAGAGGTTGCACTTGCTGCTTCTGATTGGAACCACCCGAGATTCGCTGACGCTTTTTGGGTGGCATGACAGGAAACAGCCTACCGAAAAACCTGTCTGACCTGCCTGAACAACAAGCTGAGGTCGCACAACAGCATATTGTATTCTGTATAGTAAGCATCAGTATTAAATTATTCCTCAGACCTACTTTGCAACCAAACCAAATGTAAAGCAAACCAAACTTGCACAGTTCCCTTGCTTGCGAAGTCAACAGCCTTCCAATTTGCACTATTCGCTCCACAGGGTACATCAACACAGCCACAGTGGTTTACTGTGGCAAAAATTATGAATTTCACACAGACATGTTGCATCACATGCGGTGTTCTACAAAAAGAAGCAAACTAAGGAGAGTGAGCAGCGGGCGTCCAGTTGGCAAGCAAACTGACCAATGCAGCCAGATGGACTGGCACATTGAACCTGAGCCCAACTCCATCAGAAGACAACAAGTGTGTGGTATCACAGCTTTTTGAGTCAATGACTTACCCAAAATAAGAAGCACACAAATCAAATAAATCCCTTTAATTGGACTTGACAAAGTGACGCATTGCCGATAAGGTCACGCATCAGAGAATCTGACACATCTCCCATCTGAAATCGATGCCATTCTGCTTGACCAACTCCTTGCAGGCTAGCGAGCTCCTGCAAGTTTAGCAACCAATTGTTGCTAGCTATTATTTCAACTCATGTCGGACCTAATGGGTTGAAACCAGAACATGTTTTTGGTATCAATGCTGCTATTCACAAACGAATTCATTCATTTTCTTCACAAGACAGATCCGACCCCGTTTGTGTCCTGTGGAGTCACAAGTCGAAAACGACCAGGCCCTGACGCAACATACTTTCCGCCAGGGATGATGCAAGAGCTCGTTGCCAAATCCGACTTCGGGTAATTCTGCCTCTGAAAGTTTTGGTCCTTAGAGTCAGCACTCCAACACAGCACTTACACATTTGGTGGGTTGAGCCGGTTGAGCAAAATCTGCTCAGCTGACTGTTACACTCGTTCAATTCAACAGCCTACCGAAAAAACAAAAAACTCGATTCATCCTTTGCATAAAGCAAAATAAATCACTAAAAAAGCACAACCTGAAGTCTTGTATTATCCAGGTAGCAACCTGCAAAACAATCAAGTCCTTCATGGCATCAAAGTTGTAGCGCTGAGACAATTCCTCCACGGCCACTGCCAAGATGGCGCGTTCCCGTGTGGTGCATGAGATAGCGGAAAACTGCAGCTCACACATGCGGTGGTGAAGTTTCTCCTGTTCACGGTTCATATGTATTTTGCAAAATGGAATTAATTGGAACAGTGCAGACTGAATTGCCATCATTACTGCCTTTAGAGGCTGATTCTCAAGATAGGTCCGAATGGCTTTCTACTAGACTCATTAATCACTCTTTCACTCCAATTCAAGAAAATACACGCAATCCAAAAACATGTCGTGTGTCTCCTTCCCAAAGATCTTGCACTGTTCTGCAAAGCTGTCCTCCCACTTGTTGCCACCCTTACCACCCTTGCCCTTCATGGAATTGACACTTGGCCAATCTTTGAGATTCAGACAGCTAGAGAGTGGGACATTCTTCCGCTGGAATCGGTTCACATCAGCTTCCAGCTTGGCAGCGTCACAGGCAATCTCTGACTTCAAGACACACAGCAGCCATGCACGGCGCCTCTGCTGCGGGACCCCGAAGTCTGCCGCGTTGTAGATCGCCCCAGAAACAAGATACCCCAGACTTGAGAACCGCTTCTCTATGAGGTCAAACCTGAGAACGTTTCAAACATAAACACAATGATGATTCAGCAGTAGTTTGTCATCCTAAACTGACTATTACTATTTATTGTATTAAGTGCTTATTGTGTTTTTGTGGCAGTGATTTTTTTGCTCATTCAGAATTAAAATGATGTCAGTCTCAACTCACCAAAGTAAGCTGTCAACCAATAAACTTAACTCAATAAGCCTGTTTCTATTTCACCAGCAAGACACGCAGAAATGCCACCTGATACCTCCCGCTTTGAAAATAGTGAGGCGACGTTCTCCATCAGCACAAGTCTCGGTCGGTGCAACCTCACGTACTTTTCCAATCCGAGATAGCCTTTGCCACTGCTGCAGTCTGGATCCAGCACACTTCCGGGAGTCGTTGTCAACATTGAAAGGGAGACACATGGAAAGCCACCAACCAGCAAATCGACCTGGCAGGGATGGTCAAAAAGTTGTCAATGGGCTGTCTAGGTTCCCAAACAATTCTTTAGACAAATTCAATTACCATCCACTTTCTTGAACCTCCGACTCCCAATCCAAACCTTAGGAACAGCTTCAGAACATCCGTTTGCAGTTCTGGCAAACTTCTTGCCCATGTCGGACACGTCACAAAAAAGGTGCGCATGAGGAAATCTGGAGGACAGGTACTTCTGCTTCCTGGGACAAAGCTCGGCCATGAACTTCAATTGAACCTGCAGAGCGAGACATACCCTGACACTCCTAGTTTCTTGGAACCCGCCATCAAAAAACAATGTCCTTCGCAAAGGATTGCACAAATCATGATTATAGATTGTATGTGATATCGTTCTTGGTGGTTCCCCAATCCAATATATATAATATATTATATTATATTAAATGATCATTTTTAAGCAGTTTGTGAGTTTGCATCCCTGGAAGAAAAACAATTGGTCAGTTGCTGCTGCTGCTGCTTTCATCACTACTACCACCACACATCATTTTTATAATAGTTGGTTTTATTCATTTCTAGTAGTACCTGACTGAGCCTTATGGTTGTTCCAAAACTCTTGATAAGGCACCTACTCCTACCCACCGACACCCCTAAAACTCAGTATGCATCATAACACGCTGGCAATCAGTACGGTGACAGGTTGTTGAAGAGGGTAAAGGGTCAGGTTAAGAGCCGCTATTTTCAACCCAACAAATTGAATGAAGTAAACTATGAAATATGTAGAATAATCCCCGACTCCATGAGAAGATAACCGAACATAAAACAGTCCCATGACAACTTCTTGTTGAGGGGTTCCTTAAATCCAGGATGAATTGCGCCTCCAATGAAGAACCACTGGGCTGGACCGAATTCCAGCATTTCTGCAAATCCTGGCACACCATCTCCAGAACTCCCCACCCAGAGAAAAGGCTGCCAACCCGGAGGGTCGAGTTCACATGCCCCAGGTTCTTGGCCAAAAGATCTCGGAGATCTGCAAAGACCTGATTGTGCACAAAGTCCTCCACGAAAGCTCCAACCTGGGCAGGTGAGGAGTTACATGCACGATACCCCAACAAACTCCACCAGCACCTGTGAGTTTGGGTCCTATATATCTAAAACTTTGTCTTCCAAAACCCTGAGGCCTGTCTTCCAAAACCCTGAGAAGAACGACAATTGAAAACCGACCGATCTGTCAGGTAACGCTTGGCGGGACAACCAGGGCAGACAATTTCTCATCCGGCTGACTTTGCTGTGCGTTTGGGGCTGCGACTGCTTCTTCTACATCTGATTCCAGCAGGAGTTCATTGGTGTCGGAGCACTGCTCACCACGGCATCCCCCTGGAGAGTCAAAACTGCAAAATAAACAACACCGTCACTTTTGTTTTGCCGATCAAGCAACATGAAAACAGACCCGCTAGTGAACACCTACAGCGACTGCAAACAACTGAACTACTTCCTTCGTTCCCGGTACACTGAACTTACTTCATTTGTTCCCAGTACTCTGGTTCATCATTGATCCCCGCTTCCCCCAAGGTCTCCTTCACCTTCATCTTCCGATGCAAAGAGGATCTCCTGGACGACGTCCTCATCAACTTTCCTCCTGGGCATGTGAAACAACTGATCCCTGAAACTTCAAGTTACAAACACCACAGCGGACTACCGTCTCAGCAGGAGCAATTCATTTTGCGCTTTGGGCAGCAAAGTCTGAATTTAAATCTTACATCTCAAATCCAATGGGCAAATCAACTGGACCATCCGAATCCGAACTGTCATCACCTGCATCAGCCTCGCCTTGTATACACAAATCAAAGTGCCTCACCCGATGAGGTATTCGCCATGTACCAGGCCGATGGACCTCCCGTCTCATGTCCGGTAGATATCTGTAATTGAGAACGGAATAGGTCTGCGGCCTTTGCTCATGATTCAAAGTAGCAGTACTCCATCGTGTCAAATATTCAGCGCCTGAAGCTGTCAATTCACCACTGCGCTTCAAAATCGGAACTCTTTTGGCAAGGTTTTTGCGCACATTCTCTGCGATAGCTCTTCTTTCTGCAATTCCTGCTGGTGGATGGAAGCCGGTCCGAATTTGGCTCGCAACAGATGCGGGCACAACCACTGTGGCCCGAAGCACTTCAGAATCTGCCAGCCAGCGTTTTGTCACCAAAAAGACATCATTTTCATGAGGAACATGCCCTCGGCCATACTCTTCCAGATTCAGAATGTTATCGAGAACACTGGTACCCAGATCTTTGCGAAGAGTAAACTTGAAAAAGTGCACATGGCGCAACCCCTTGAAGCTCAGGCCGGTTTGGCCCACAAAGTTCTTCCATAAAGCTGCTTGGTCTAGTTTGACAGCGTCTGCATTTGCACCCCTCAGGCGGCCTGAAGTCTCTCCAGGGTCAGCAGCAGACATGAAACAATCGTTCAATAAAGTCAGCATCTCCTGATCAGACATCAGAGTCTTACCAGCCAGCAGTCTGGCAATCTGGCCAAATGCTTGATCAACATCCTCATGGGAATGGGATACCCTGAGGAATCCCATGGCCACGACCCTTGCCGCACCAAGGAGCTGCAGCATCAATAAAAAATTCAACATGTACCTGTTTTTGGCTTCCCTGTATGTATTGTCATGTTGTAGGTATATGCCTAGTGGCATTGAACCGCACCCATCAAGAATGCCGCAAAGCGATTTGCAAAGCACCTCGATGCTGGTCACACTGTCTTTCTTCATGTCCTCACAGCTAAGGTGAATCGTCAGCCGCCAGCCATGGGCCCAATTGGCCACCAAATGCATCGCGGGGCGGTACAGCTTCTCACAAGACTTTGAAATCCGTCCGTAACCCCATCGTGGAATACGGACCTTTGCCTGGTCCATTCCGTCTTGGATCAAGCAAAGTTGGGAATTGGACAGATCTGCACTGAGCTTGGCAGCAACCCACAGCATTTGGCTAAACCACTGCCTTGACAATGTCCTTTGCTGCCAGTAGAAGACGCGATCCAGCCATTGGGCCAGTAAGTGCTTGCTGTACAATCTTGTTTGAAGCATCCTGTCTGACCGGGTCTTTGATTTTTTGATTCTGTTTCGCAGATTGAAGCATACCGTGCACTGTGAAAAGGAGCCCTTGTCTCGGAATTTCAAATGTTTGCCAAAAATGCGAGTCATAATCTTACGGAACGTAGAGAAACTGGCCACGGGTTCGCCTATGGCTTCAGCATAACTTTGATACTGCATGAAGACATCAATGGGACGCATCCACTCTAGCCACCTCGTTGGACCAGAGAATGTGCCCGGTCCACTTCCAGGTTGTGCCTCAACAATGCACAAAACCCGAAATACCAAAATACTATGTACTGGACGACCAAATAACTAGCAAACAAATCAATAAAGGTAAAAGGCATCATTCTGCTGAGACATGCGTCTGTGGCATAGTTACTTTCAAGAGTTCTCATGAATGCACTGACATACCGTTCTTGAAAGTCAGGGTCGGACTTGACCACCGTTTCTGCCAGATGGCCCACCAGAGTGGTTGGCATGATGAAATTTGTGGGCAATACCTCCGCACAGCTAATGTACAACATCCAAAAGAATGAAAGTACACTGGGCCACTTTCTCTGCAAGGAAGAACGCACAAGTGAAGTTGACACAGTAGGGTGTTTGGGTTCCTCAAGGCGTCCCTGATGCATGGTGAAGGGCCGCTCACCTTGCCGAAGCTTCTGAAGAGCACCTGAACCTATGCCATATAGCCTTTTGTGCGCTGCCTGGCAAACTTCTTTGCCCAAGAACTTGAGCTGTCGCGATCCTGCTCTGTTGGCAACATACCTGCGCTTCTTTGGGGGCTGATGGACCTCGCCCTCAGAGTCTGTTGCCAGCAGGAGTTCTGTGTGGTGCTCTGGACTGGGGCAATCTTCGCACTCTGAATCTGTTTGTAGTAGTATTCGGTCTTCAGGCTCGGAGTCAGTTTCTAAAAGTAGTGTCGTCCCATCATTGGACCTCCCAGCATGGTCCAAGCCCAATAGCGAAGCAGCATCCACTTCTAGGTTGTACCATTTTCGAATGCAAGCTTCCTTATGTTATGGAAAATTGATTCCAACAACAAAGAAAAACCTGCAGTGAGGGTCTGGACTTTAAACTTATCAGGATTCCATCCAACCTGATGGCATCTAGTGAGGGAATAAAGTAAACCACAAAACTTGAATTGAATAACGGAACCGGATTCTTTGCAATCTCCATCTAGCTCATGAAAGCGGTTCCGCTCCTGCTGCACTGCTATTTCATCATCCGTGAACTGTTGGAAACAAGCAGCCCCGCTGCATGTGCATTTCTGGCGCAAAAGCTGCCCTATGGTTAACCTCTTGGGCATCCTGTTGTCTTCGGCCAGTGGCTGCAGCTTCAATATGCAACGGATTGGGTGAGGCAAGGAATCATTGGGGCAAAAGGTCTCAAATACTCGGGTCTTGACTGGTTGGGGCAAAGTAGTTATTTATTATGCGCTCTTCCATCTCGAGTAGCTCGCAGATCATCCCTGATTGTTTTGATTCCTTATATTATGCTTAATGGCTACTGAATATCCTGGTTGGCCACCCATGCCATCCAATCACCTCGGACTCCATTCCACACTTCCAGCACCCCAGAGCTCCTCGAAGCTGCTGGGCGCTTTGTTGCTGGCCGTTTGCACGCTGGCCGCTTCATGGCACACATCGCAAATGACGACAAGCCTCCCTGATCCCGACAGGACTCTTAAGCCAATCCACGCATATTAAATTCATAGAACCCGCAGGACCCTAACCTTTTGAGAACACTTGAAAAGACCAAACTTTGAAAAGACTATCTTTTTAGAAAGTTCCTTATACGTTTTCGATTGTTTGATGTGTCATCCCAAGCCTGGCCCCTCGTAAGCCATTTGGGTCCTGTTCGGACCTCCTTTCAGGAGGTACCGGCAGCGCTTTCTGGAAGATGGTGGGCTTTGAGGCAAAGATTTGCCGAATCGGCAGACCCTCTTCCAGCCGAATCGTTGGTTGATTCCACTGTTTGGCTCCATACTTTCCTCCAAAAAACACCTACCAGGCTTCGGGTTACAGAAGGGTGTAGAGATGTGTAAGATGTGTTGTGACCATATTATGGACCACACGACACATCCCGGTGCATCAGAGAATCTCAGATCTTCAGGATGCTGGAGTGCATTCAGACCTTTCATGTAAATCCACCCGGATCAACCTACTGGGACCCCAGCTTTGCGGTTTGTAGAGAGTGACCTGACTGGAGAGCCACTGGTGTTGCTTGCACTTGACTCTCATGACTTAGGACGAGAAGAGGCGCAGACACCAAGACAGCAAAGTTGCAAACTACATGGGGTTGCTCCCACTACATAAAGGTGCTAAGCAGTTGAAACAAACAGGTAATATATGACTATAAACAACTATATGTATATATAACTAAATAGTTAACACAAACACACATCATTTTGAACAACACAACGGGGCAAACAACAACTAGTGTTCGTTCAATAAATATCAATCAATCAAAAGCTGGCTGTTCAACTGTTCAAGTCCTGCGGATTTCGTGTCACATGCGCGGCCAGTCTCGCCGAAGGAGTTTTCAGTGTTTGACGACTTGTGAGGTTTCAGTTTTGTTGGCAGCGCGCGGGCACCCTCCTCAAAGGCGACGATGCTTCCAGGTAAATGACAACTATAAATATAAAGTTGATATTGTTCAATTTCTCATTCACTTGGATGTTATATCCCTGTGTTTCCAGGGGCCACCCGGTTGGTAGACGGCCAGGTTTGCATCCCTTCTCGCCTTTTCCTGGCCAGGTCGCTGAAAAGGGCGTGGTGATGGCAAGGAATTGGGGAACAGGTTCTTCCCAACTTCAGGTGCACACACATGAGATACACCTTGAGTGCATCTTCGTTTGTGTCATTGATGTGGAACATTGAAGGCCAAGTGGAAGTTTTCCGTCACTTGTTCGGCTTTGATGTCTTTGGACGGGTACCTGATCTGGGGCTGTTATTGTGTCAGTGATTCTGGAATGTAGTTGCTCAAATGTGGATGTGTGCGAAACCCATAGAACCAGAAACGGGTTTGGGAGGGCGTAGGTAGTGTTTTTTGTTGAAACCAACAGCTAATTACTGAACAAAGCCGACCACAAAGAATTCCCAGGGTTGTTAGGTAGTGGAGAATACCCTGATTCTCCCAAATCAATGATCTCAGAGCCAATACTCACTGCTTGATACGCTGCATGTGTGTGGCTGCTGAGCAGAAATGACAGCAAGGCAGAAGCACAGGACCCAAAAGCTTCCATTGAATTGGTATTTGCAGGTTTCTTATGAAGTGTAATTGATTGGACGGGAAGCCACATTTTCTATCTCAAAGAAGCCACCTCGTAGCACGAAATGAATCGCGACACATTGACGGTGGATGGCCAGCCACACCCGTCCTCTCATGACATCCTTAGTCCTTGTGCCTTAGATACGTGTTTGGCATCCAACTCGTTGAAGACTATGTTGCATTTAGAAGAAAGAGAGCACCGCTTTGCCTGCCCACATGGGTCGGCTTCACAGTTTAGCTAGCACTCCCTGACATCTCCACTTCACGGAAGTAGCCACACACTCAGACACAACACACACACACACACACACGCACATGTGGGTCACATGGGCTTTGAGAGACTCGCGCTTTTGGGCGCACTCCATGGGTTCGGCTGTCCTGCGCTTTTCCTTGGCCTGTGTGGTGCTGTCCGATGTGTCCAACGCCGGGACTCCAAGGACTTGGTGGTAGCTTCTTGTTACTACTAGTAAGGCACCTGTTACTACTAGCGATGC